ATGAGAGAGTTCTTTTGAGTCGGGTGGTGGTGGGAATCAGGCTTCAAGTAGGAGTCTGTGTGTTGACTTCCTGTAAACAGAATGTCCCAAAGAGCCATCAGTCCTCTCAAACAGAACATCCAAGAATGGAAGCTTGCCATCTTTCTCCACTTCCATGGTGAATTTGATGGATGGGTGTCTGGAATTAATGTGGTCTAGGAAATGGTTCAATGCTGGGAGGCAATGTGGCCAAATGACGAAAGTGGCATCCACATATCTCTTCCATAGGGAAGGGCGAAGGGTGGATGTCTGGATGGCGTCTGATTCAAATTTCTCCATGAAAACATTGGCTATCACTGGTGACAAGGGGGAGCCCATAGGGGTACCCTCATTTTGTCTGTAGAAGGTACCATTCCAGGTAAAGGAAGTGTTGGTGAGGCAGTGCCTAACCAGCACAGGGACATCAGGGTTCAGTCCATGTTGGACCAAGTCTTCAATTATTGTTATGTTGTCAGGTACTGGGACCTTGGTAAACAGAGAGACCACATCAAAGCTGACGAGGATATCGTCAGAAGATAGTACAATACCCTTGACCATAGAAACCAATTGGGTTGAGTTAAGTACTCCTGAGGTGGTCTTGCCAGTGAAGGGAAGCAGAGTGTCCGATAAAAAAGGGCTAGTTTGTAGGTAGGAGAGTTGATTGTGGACACGATGGGTCGTAGTGGGGTACCTTCTTTATGGATCTTGGGAAGACCATAGAATCTGGGGGGTCTTGCAGCCGAGGGTTTTAGGGAGGGAAGTTTGGATGGTTCGATCAGGGAAGTCGAACTAGTGATGATCTTGTTGGTTTTTATCGTTAGGCTGTTAGTAGGATCACTTTAAATTTTTGAGTAGCTTCCATCATTGAGTAGGTCCTGGATTTTGTTGTTGCATGAGTTTTTATCCATAATGACAGTGGCATTGCCTTTGTCGGCCGAGAGAATGACAATATCATCCCTCTTTTTTAAATTCGCGAGTTCAGAGCGCTCGTTTTTTCTGATGTTGCTAATGGGTTTCTTAGCATTCTTAAGAATAGTGGCTATCTCAGCTCTCGCAATGTCTGCTTGGATGTGTCCTATGCCTTTGAGGGCTACATCGACCTGAGAGATGATATCCTCTGCTGATATATGTTTAGGGGTGACAGCAAAATTTAGTCCTTTAGTCAGTACCGTTTTCAGATTGTCCGAAATCGGGATGTTACTCTGATTAATAACGATTTTGTTAGCGTCCAGTTTTGTGATGTGTGGTCCTGGGTTCCTCTTTGATAGGAGGTTGAATTTAGCGATCAGGTTAGCCCTGCATTTGACTGACAGTGAATCAGCAGAGGCAGCAGTCATGTTGTCAACGTGGTTCCAATCAGAAGGGGACATTTTTTGTGTTAACATTAAATGAGATTGTAGGAGAGTCCTGTCCAAACTATCGAGTTCAAATCGGAGCACTCTTATTCTTTCTGAGATAAATGATAGGCTAGCCTTAAACAGAATCCGTTTTAGAGTTCGGTGAAGATACAGCAGCAGATGTGAGTGTGAAAGCGATGGGTAGTACCTTGTTGTCGCGGCATCTTTTGAGGAAGGTTAGCATCTCGATGAGCTGTGACTTCTTATCTCGTTGTCTGTTAAGCCAATGTCATGAGAACCCGCTGTGTTGAAACAATGATCAGCCACGGCCGAATAATTCGTTCTGCCATGTTTCAAATCTGATTTGTGCTCGCGGATTCGGTCAGAAATATGTCGTTTCGTCTCCCCGATATAGCAGACACCGCAGGTACAACTCAATTTGTAAACACCGTGGTACTGTAAGTCAGGAATGACATCCTTTACGGATGGGATCAGATCACTCTTCCCCCGAACCCCCTACAGCATCAACCATTGAAAAGATGTTATAAACCAAGTCAAAGTTTGGCTACCTTATAATTGTACAGCCATTTCCATTGCATTCAGTGAGTTGCGTGTACTCGTATATCTCTCCCCCCGAACCCTCTGCAGCATAACAAAAGGCGGCATAACTCAGCCCTCCCCCCCACCCACGTCCCTTCTTGGCTCCTCCCCCCCCACTAACCTGTATATAATTCCGGCAGTCTCAGAGCTGTCCACTTGACACAGATATTCTGCTGTGACTGTTCCACCTGAAGACGGAAGCTTGTGTTGCCTCCGAAACGTCGTGATTTAATTTAGTTGTTTTCTTTTATTTTACCTACGTGACTTTACCGAAAAAACTAAGAGTATAAATACCAATAGCCAGGATCAATCCACTGCTGAGTGAAGGTCATTCAAAGCCGTTGCCGTCTCTTACAGTCATGCAGCGTTTAAACCAAAAAAGTACTATTAAAAAAAATCAAACACGCTTTAATGAAATGTACCGTACTAGTAATGGAAGAACTCCACGACTCCAGGAAGTGGCTCCGAAGCTTGCCACAAAGTAAGGGACCTTGGTGATTTACAGCCAACGTCAGTTGAGCGTGGACAATTAGACCCAAGCCGAAACAAAACATATTAAAAAGAACGTTACAAAAAAATATATTTTTATGATAGAATATGGTATTGTCATCAGTATGACATAAGTATACCAAGTTTGCAGTCGATACCACATTGGGAAGTGGGTTAAAATGGAGTTACAAGATTTGAGAATACAACAACAACGACAACAACAGAATGAGTTAAATAAAAGCGTGTAATAATAAAAAAAGAGATCCATCTGTGCACACGGGCTGGGTTAAATGGCTCATCTCGCCAGTGGATGTCCTCGCGGGCGTGGTTCCCTCCTTTGGGCTGCCACTCCGTCGTTAATCTCGACCATGACCGTGGCCCCGTCATCACCAACAATGTTGTAGGTGCAGGAGGGGTCGGCAACCCGCGGCTCCGGAGCCGCATGTGGCTCTTTGAGGCGCTGCATCGCGATACTCTTTTTTGTGATGATTAAGAACCCACAGTCGCGTATTCACCACGTGCATTGCGACTCTCGATGTAGTGATGGGGGAGTTTTATTCTTAACCGAATTCGAAAGCCAACATGCCTCTTCTTCTTGCACTTTTGGTTGCCCGCCTCTGTCTTAAGAGGGAGGGGGGGGGGGCATTCATCTGCAACGGCAGAATATAAACGTTAGCTGAGTATTCTTCAGTCATTTTCAGAGGGTGGGCCACTTTCCCGATAAGACATCATCAGCGCGAGGGCCGCCACACATCTGAAACCATTGGGATTTGACAGCACGATGATGATGGGGTGCTGTCACCATTCGTGTATTGTTGCTTGGCCGCACGTCAGGGGCCGCACTGAAGGCCACCAGGGGCCATCAGTGGCCCGCGGGCCTTGCAATGAAGACCACTCGGTTACACCATTTCACGCGAATTAAATTTTTTTCACTTTTTATGCCCACAATGTTTCTGACGAATGGGCTTATTTTTGTGTGTGTGCGTGTGTGTCAATTGTGCTTATGCCCCACTGCCAACGCGACCGCAGTCGCATCGCCAACATAATTTATATGTTTCAAGGCTACGTGTTACCTTCACATCGTTTGTGTTATTGATGGCCCAGGTGACGGCCCCGGCCCGCACCTAGAACCTCCCCCACATCCCCCCCCAATCGTGGCTCCACTGCGGGTAGTACGGTCTGCTGAGCCCTGCCCCGCAAGAGTTATTCAATCTCACACGTCTCGGTAGTAGTTGGTAGCAACAGTCGGCTTTCGTGGCCAAACTTAACCATAATAAAGGGTTTTATTTATTTATTGATGGGTTAGATCGCGTAATTATAAATGTGTCGTGAAACCCGCCGCCACCACCCGACAGAGGCAATTCGTAAACGTGACAAACCTTACTCATTAGTAAACCTTACGAAAAGGCTGTCGGGTGGTGGCGGGTTTCACGACATATTTGTATTTACGCGATTCTAATCCACAAAACAACCTCTTATGGATAAGGGTTATTCAACTGAACAGCCCCCAGAACAACACTCACCTTTCAATAGCACCGCCTTTTTTTCAATTTATTTTTCAAGGTCACAATTGTTATTTACGAATGTGTTCATATTTGTATTTGTTCTTGTGCACCGGTGCCAACGCAGTACTATCACCAAATTATTGCATTTATCTTAGCCTCGCCGCGATATAATTCACGATACAATTTACACGATACGGCGATTATCGCGATATCACTTTTACCCATTACTTTGAAATTCCATTTCGCGTTTTGTTTACCGTTGGATTTTTCGTTGTTGCGCTTTTCTGTGGTTCGATTATAAGTAATATTCTCAGCTGAAATTCTACATCGGCCCGCCACATGTCCCGGCAACCCTGCAACTCGCAAAAAAAAAAACCGACAGCAGTTCCTCGAAGCCATTCACAGTGGCTCCTATTGTCTTAGGTCACAATTCAACAAACAATTTGTTTGAGCAAACGAGACCCCCACTTGACAGCAAGCGGCCAAGGCAGTGTGATAGACAAACCGTGGGCCGGATTTATGTTTTTTTTATTGGGACTCATCAGCACGGTACAGCCACCGATGCTCATTGCAAGCCTGCAAAGCCTCACTCTGGGCAAACGATATCAAAACACAACCATGGGCGGCGTCCCCCCACCTACACGCTACGGTGCCCATGAGTGTGGCCAATAGCAACAACATTGACGCCCGCGAATGTAAATAGCTGGTAATAAATCAAACAAAATCGTTTTTATTTTATTTTAAATAAATAAAGCAGGTCAGGTAGCGTTATCTGTGTAACCCGTCCATGGAATTCCCCCCCTACACCACCACCACCACCACGGGGATGGACTCGCCCGAGCAGGGGGGTGGACTCGCCCGAGCAGGGGGGTGGACTCGCCCCATCAGGGGGATGGATTTGCCCCAGCAGGGGGGTGGACTCGCTCGAGCAGGAAGGTGGACTCCCCCGAGTAAGGGGGTGGACTCCCCCGAGCAGGGGGGTGGACTCCCCCGAGCAGGGGCGTGGACTCGCCCCATCAGGGGGATGGACTCCCCCCATCAGGGGGATGGACTCGCCCCATCAGGGGGATGGATTCGCCCGAGCAGCGCTGCCCCTGAGTGGGCGGGGTCGCGGTGCAACTCCCGAACCCGGCAGTGGAGGAGTCGACGCAGCCGGCATCGTAGCAGCCTCTCCACCTTCCTCCTCCCGCTCCGCATCACCCTCGTGTCTCTCACCCCCCGCCACCCCCCTATAAGGAAGAGGTTTTTTTGTGGTGGTATACGCTTCATCGTCGTCATTTTAATCATCATCGGCGGAACAAACAAACACCAAAAAACCCCCCACAATCATCATCAGCAGCAGAAGCAAGAAGCAGGTGTCGGCGTGAAAGAACGAAAGAGAAAGACAGAACAGCATTGATGCTGCTCCATTCATTGACAGAGACGGGCAGACAGCGCGTGCGGCGAGGGTAGTTGTGGTGAGGGTCGTGCGGTGTAGCGCTGTGTAGCTTCGGTGGTGCCGCATGCACAGTTGCGGTCAGGCGGTACTGTATCGTGCGGTGCAGCGTGGGTCAGTGTGGATCAGTGTGGTTGCAGGCGAGGGTTAGGTTAGTGCGGTACAGTGTGGAATAGTGTAGCGCAGGTTAGTGTGGTGCAGGGCAGTGCAGGTGTGGTGCGGGGCAGTGCAGGTGTGGTGCGGAGCAGCGTGGTGCAGCGCCCTGCACGTGGCTGTCGCCCCATGCCCCGGTGACGATGTCCGCTACGGAGCTCTACTGCAAGGTGAGGCGGTGTCAGCTGTGTGGTGATGGGTCAGCTGTGTCAGCTGTGTGGTGATGTGTCAGCTGTGTCAGCTGTGTAACGTGTCAGCTGTGTCAGCTGTGTGATGCTGTGTGATGATGTGTCATGCTGTGTCATCTGTGTGGTGTGTCATCTGTGTGATGATGTGTCATCTGTGTGATGTGTCATCTGTGTGATGTGTCATCTGTGTGGTGTGTCATCTGTGTAATGTGTCATCTGTGTGGTGTGTCATCTGTGTGGTGTGTCATCTGTGTAATGTGTCATCTGTGTAATGTGTCATCTGTGTAATGTGTCATCTGTGTGGTGTGTCATCTGTGTGGTGTGTCATCTGTGTGGTGTGTCATCTGTGTGGTGTGTCATCTGTGTGGTGTGTCATCTGTGTGATGTGTCATCTGTGTGGTGTGTCATCTATGTGATGTGTCATCTGTGCGGTGTGTCACCTGTGTGACGTGTCATCTGTGTGATGCGCTGTGTCATCTGTGTGGTGTGTGGTGTGTCATCTGTGTGGTGTCTCATCTGTGTGGTGTGTGATGTGTCATCTGTGTGATGTGTCATCTGTGTGATGTGTCATCTGTATGATGTGTCATCTGTGATGTGTCATCTGTGTGGTGTGTCATCTGTGTGATGTGTCATCTGTGTGATGTGTCATCTGTGTGGTGTGTCATCTGTGTGGTGTGTCATCTGTGTGTGTGATGTGTCATCTGTGTAATGTGTCATCTGTGTAATGTGTCATCTGTGTGGTGTCTCATCTGTGTGGCGTGTCATCTGTGTGATGTGCTGTGTCATCTGTGTGATGTGTCATCTGTGTGGCGTGTCATCTGTGTGATGTGCTGTGTCATCTGTGTGATGTGTCATCTGTGTGCTGTGTCATCTGTGTGATGTGTCATCTGTGCGGTGTGTCATCTGTGTGATGTGTCATCTGTGTGATGCGCTGTGTCATCTGTGTGGTGTGTGGTGTGTCATCTGTGTGGTGTGTGGTGTGTCATCTGTGTGGTTTCTCATCTGTGTGGTGTGTGATGTGTCATCTGTGTGATGTGTCATCTGTGTGATGTGTCATCTGTGTGGTGTGTCATCTGTGTGATGTGTCATCTGTGTGATGTGTCATCTGTGTGGTGTGTCATCTGTGTGGTGTGTCATCTGTGTGGTGTGTCATCTGTGTGGTGTGTCATCTGTGTAATGTGTCATCTGTGTAATGTGTCATCTGTGTGGTGTGTCATCTGTGTGGCGTGTCATCTGTGTGATGTGCTGTGTCATCTGTGTGATGTGTCATATGTGTGGTGTGTCATCTGTGTGATGTGTCATCTGTGTGCTGTGCCATCTGTGTGTTGTGCCATCTGTGTGGTGTGCCATCTGTGTGGTGTGCCATCTGTGTGGTGTGTCATCTGTGTGGTGTGTCATCTGTGTGGTGTGTCATCTGTGTGATGTGTCATCTGTGTGATGTGTCATCTGTGTAATATGTCATCTGTGTAATATGTCATCTGTGTAATGTGTCATCTGTGTGGTGTGTCATCTGTGTGGTGTGTCATCTGTGTGATGTGTCATCTGTGTGGTGTGTCATCTGTGTGATGTGCCATCTGTGTGGTGTGTCATCTGTGTGATGTGCCATCTGTGTGGTGTGTCATCTGTGTGATGTGTGTACTGCGTGTGATATGTAGTCTGTGTCATGTGTGTACTGTGTGTCATGTGTGTAATGTGTGTACTGTGTGTAATGTTTGTACTGTGTGTCATGTGTCGAAGCATCTGCTCCGTTAACCCCCTAACACCGGTCGCTCTGGCCTCGAGGTCACTGTAATGAGCACGTATTTGTGTACTGGCATACGTCCTGTACATGTTTGTGTGTACTCTATGTGCGGTATATTCTGCAGTGCTGATTGTGCGTGTATTCTGTAAGTAGTGCAAGAATATTTTACGTTCTGAGCATATGATTAACATGTATATCCATGTGTGTACTCTATACGTTGTGTATATGTGACGTGTTGTTAATTGGTGTTTAGAACACGTAAGATGCTTGAGTCAGGGTGCTAATTGGAGACAGTATCACGGCTGTCTCCCTGCTGGTAGATTATATATCCCTGTGCACCCTCCTGGCCCTCCCTCATTTGAAGGGATGCTGACACCCCCCCCTCCCACACACCTCCGATTAGCACGGTTGGCTACGTACGGTGCGAAAGAAGTTCAACATACATACTGTATATGTATCACCTTCGTCCCTGGCTGCCTGTTCTATACCATTACAGACCACACGTGCCTGCCTCCCCGCTTGTGTCTCAGCCTTACTGCCTACCTGTGTGTGTGTTCTTCCATTACAACCCACACCTGACTACCTGCCTACCTACCTGTGTGTGTTCTTCCATTACAACCCACACCTGACTACCTGCCTACCTACCTGTGTGTGTTCTTCCATTACAACCCACACGTGACTACCTGCCTACCTACCTGTGTGTGGTCTTCTATTACAACCCACACGTGACTACCTGCCTACCTACCTGTGTGTGTTCTTCCATTACAACCCACACGTGACTACCTGCCTACCTACCTGTGTTGTGTTCTTCCATTACAACCCACACGTGACTACCTGCCTACCTACCTGTGTGTGTGTTCTTCCATTACAATCCACACGTGACTACCTGCTTACCTACCTGTGTGTGTTCTTCCATTACAACCCACACGTGACTACCTGCCTACCTACCTGTGTGTGTGTTCTTCCATTACAACCCACACGTGACTACCTGCCTACCTACCTGTGTGTGTGTTCTTCCATTACAACCCACACGTGACTACCTGCCTACCTACCTGTGTGTGTTCTTCCATTACAATCCACACGTGACTACCTGCTTACCTACCTGTGTGTGTTCTTCCATTACAACCCACACGTGACTACCTGCCTACCTACCTGTGTGTGTTCTTCCATTACAACTCACACCTGACTACCTGCATACCTACTTGTGTGTGTGTTCTTCCATTACAACCCACACGTGACTACCTGCCTACCTACCTGTGTGTGTGTTCTTCCATTACAATCCACACGTGACTACCTGCTTACCTACCTGTGTGTGTTCTTCCATTACAACCCACACGTGACTACCTGCCTACCTACCTGTGTGTGTGTTCTTCCATTACAACCCACACGTGACTACCTGCCTACCTACCTGTGTGTGTGTTCTTCCATTACAATCCACACGTGACTACCTGCTTACCTACCTGTGTGTGTTCTTCCATTACAACCCACACGTGACTACCTGCCTACCTACCTGTGTGTGTGTGTTCTTCCATTACAACCCACACGTGACTACCTGCCTACCTACCTGTGTGTGTGTTCTTCCATTACAACCCACACGTGACTACCTGCCTACCTACCTGTGTGTGTGTTCTTCCATTACAATCCACACGTGACTACCTGCTTACCTACCTGTGTGTGTTCTTCCATTACAACCCACACGTGACTACCTGCCTACCTACCTGTGTGTGTGTTCTTCCATTACAACCCACACGTGACTACCTGCCTACCTACCTGTGTGTGTGTTCTTCCATTACAATCCACACGTGACTACCTGCTTACCTACCTGTGTGTGTTCTTCCATTACAACCCACACGTGACTACCTGCCTACCTACCTGTGTGTGTGTTCTTCCATTACAACCCACACGTGACTACCTGCCTGCCTCCCCGCGTGTGTCTCAGGCTGACTGCTTACCTACCTGTGTGTGTGTGTGTGCTCACCTGTCGCTTTACCTGCTGCCCCGCACCCTCCAACCTGCCCTGTTTGTTTACTTGGCCTATCCACCTGGCCTGCTTTGGGTGCGAGCATCCTCGTTCCCCGTGTTTGTCTGTGATCGCTTGGCCCTCGCCTGGTACTTCCCGACACGCGCCTCTGTCTCTCTCTGTCTCTCTCCACGTTGTTCGAGGGCTGTCCCTCTCGCTGCGGGCTAGAAGAAGGTGGAGTGGACAGCGGCGTGGAGGGGGGGGGTCGAGCCGTGGTGTGGCAAACCAGGCGGTTAAAGTTTATTTGCATAGTGACATGTGCGTTGAGTCCAAACTCCAAATAGATGTCTCGCTCTGGCCGTTTCTCCATAGGTAATTTTTTTTGGGGGGGTTATGTGTTGATAGGCGACCGATAAAATTAATGTTTTTTTAAGTTAAGTGTTTAATTATCCGCAAGTTAAAACTTGACATTAATAAGCATGCAAGCGTGCTATGCAAACACATACCGTGCCCTCCCCAACACTACATTCCAGTCGAGGCCACACCTACACTCTGTACTGTAATCGCCGTTTTCAAATGTTGAATATAAACCGATTGTTCCCCCCCCCCCACCCCCCAACATTATTATTGTTTTAAATCGCGAAATCAAAAGCCGGTGGAGCACTACACGGTACTACGAACACATCGTGAACCCCGCCGTGGGCTGAGCCACCGCATGGAGTGCCGGCACTGTCACATCGCATCGCCACAAATCCGTCGTAGGCAGAGTTGTAAACTCGTTGGCACCGAATGAGAAGCCGTTGAGAAACGACGCGTCTGTCTTGCGAGAGAGAGAGAGAGAGACAGACAGAAACACATTTTGGTGCATTAGGGGCAGATGAGATTCAGTTATCCGTGGTTTATAAGTAAGCAAGATGAACGCGCGGAAAATAGGAAGACTGGAGCAGCTTCAGTTGTTGCTCCAATCCCAGTAAACATTAGTTAGTTAGGACAATGTTGTGCCAACTTTGGTCCAAAGTTGGTTCAAAGGTTCCAACCAAATACCAGTGATGGCCCAACGTTGCAGGTTTACTTGGATGTCTGTTCAGGGAATTATCTTGGTCGTATCATGACCGTCATCATCGTTGTCTTCACCATCACCCGTTTATAATTAATACGATTAATTTAATATCTCACTGTCATTGTCCTCCCTGTTATCCACAGGCACTATGGGTAATGGGACCCGTTATTATCAATAAAGTACATTTTACATTCACGTTTGCAACTAAATTACGGATAAAC